GCCACTGCGGCTTTGTCTGGAAGGACGTTCAGCTGTCAAGTCTAATTAGCATATTATGCTTTTATCATTATAGATTATCTCTTCTCTGATGCCTCATATTCATAGAGTGATATAAATTATAGGAAAAGCCTTTGAAAAATGTAGTAAGTAAAATGGAATATTGAGTTCTCCCCACTTTGTCCAATCCTGCCTCGGATCCATTCTCCTGGGTCCCAATGCCCTAACTCTATCTTAGCCCTTTGATCAATCTTTGCCAACTGAGGGGCATAGGTACACGTTTTCCCAGGGAATGTGAACAACTATTATAGTCCCATTCCTGTTATTTTCCCTGATCACCAGAAACGGGGACCATCTCTCTGGTTTCATGGGGCCTCCTGACTTGCCCAACGCAGAGCTGTGTGCGTGTCATAATGGGCATTCTGCCGCCAGATGAGGCGAGGGCTAGTAGGTGAGATAACTGCAGGCCAAGGTCAGAGCTTATGTGCAGTCCCTCCTTTTGACAAGATGAGTACTATTTTGGGAAAATGAGACGCAAGCTACCTCAAATTTCTTCATCTCAACTCCGGCCTCCTTATGTTCCTAAAAAAATTCATCTTCTAAGCAACCTTCCTAAACTGGATCTGAATTCGCCTGGCTCTCCTCCCATGTGGCACTCACCTCTTTGTATTTTCTGCCCTACCACTCTCCCTCCTTTGGATGGTGGGAACTCTTTCCACTACCCCATCCATGTTATCTACCTACCCAGTTCTTATGTGCCTTCCAGACTACCCTCTTTCCACTCTGTTCGCAGTGATCTCCCTACTTATTCCTCTATCTTTGCCCTTTCTCCTCCCAAATAGCCCCTCTTCCTAATATGTTGGTCTCTGCTCCTCACCAACACCCCAGCTTGCTCCCCATCCAGACCTCCTAATTCATAAATATAACCCTAGAGAGATCCTTTCCCTACCTGTGGACAGTTCTGGTGCAGTTCAGAATTCCTAGGACAGTGGATTACATTAGCCTGACCTGGCAGACATAAGGCATTCGAGAAGATGGCCTACCAACATTCAGCTTAGAGGGTAAGCTCAATTACTTATAGGAAGCCCCGTTTTCAGCCATGACCAATCTTGGTTGTATTGTGTCCTCATCCTCATCCTATCAATCATCTCCAGATGTCCAAGACACCTTTAACAAATTTTCATTTCCATAGTCTTTTTTTTTCCTTTTTTTTTTTTTTAATATATTTTATTGACCTTTTACAGAGAGGAAGAGAGAGGGATAGAGAGCTAGAAACATCGATGAGAGAGTCTCATGGATCAGCTGCCTCCTGCACACCCCCTACTGGGGATGTGCCTGCAACCAAAGTACATACCCTTGACCGGAATCGAACCCAGGACCTTTCAGTCCGCAGGCTGATGCTCTATCCACTGAGCCAAACCAGTTTCGGCTAGAGTCTGTTTCTTTCCTCGTTTGCCTGATCACTCAGCCTGCAGAGGCCTCTATCTTTGCCATTAGCTTCTCCATGGAACTCCGTCTGGTGACCACAGAGAAAACAGCAGGAACAGTGAAGAGTGGAAAGCATCTAATCTGATCTCTAAAAGAGTTAAGTACAATAGATTTACCCCAAATTAAACTGGAGGCAAGAGTGGGTGGCCCCTGAGAACTCACACACAAGGCACAAAAGTCCCTTTCATCCATATAGAAGGACTCAAGGTTCTTTTAGGCTGGTTTCTCTAAAATGCCTTTTTTAAAATTATTATTTAATCTTAAAATTCTTGAACCTTGGAATTCTATAAAGTTCTGCTCTTGAAAAATGCGATAAAGGGAACGGTCCATTGTTTTCTGCACAGCCCTGAAGGTGGCGCCTCTCTCAGTCTGCTGCCTGCACTCCGGATTGCGGCAGGTAGCAGAATCCACAAGGAAAGGACGTGTACAGACTCTGCCCAGATGACAGCATCAGAAGAATACCTGGTATGTATTTTTTAAAGTACTCTCCTCAAACTGATATATAGCTTCCATGCAATTTCAATCAAAATTCTAAGATAGAGTTTTGGGTAACTTCACAAGCTGACCATAATTATAGAGGAAAAGTAAAAGTGAAACAGAGGAGCTATGACTCACACCCCTGTCATGTCCAGCACCGTGTCTCCCAGACCTAAACACTTCCTGGAGCACACGGTGTCATGAATGAATGGGTGCAAGAAAGAAGGAAGGAAGGACTGGGGGAGAGCACGGGCTTTGGAGTCAAGTGTTGAGATGCTTACTTTTAAAACCAACGGTGGCTCCTTTCTTTATGCGAGGCCTGTTTTTGTTCTTTTAAAATAAACTATGTTATATAAGGTATCTAAGAGTAGACATATTCATAAAAGAGAAAGTGATAGTTGCCAGAAGCTGGGGGGTAGGGAAAATGGGGAATTGTTTATTGGGTAAGAAAAAGTTCTGGAGATGTTCGCACACAATGTGCATACACTTAACACTACTCAACTGTGCACTTGAGAATGGCTCAGATGGTAATCTTTTATGTATATTTTACCACAATTAAAAATAAACTATGAAGTCCCCCAGTTACCTAAGTTAGGAAACGGTTATTCTGTCTATATTATCACATGATGATCTGGGTCAGAATGTCTTCTTAGATATGAGGCCCCTGCTGTTTTCTGAGACAGGTAGAGGGTTGGATTCTGGGCATCAGCTTTAAAGTGACATAGGTTTCTTTGTTTCATATTTTTTTCTCACTTGCAATTTTAATCAATGCATTGCTAATTCATTCCTTTTTAACTATTTCTTATAAGCATCAAATATATATATATAAATTGATTTTAGGGAGGAAGGGAGAGGGAAAGAAAGATAGAAACATCAAGGATGAGAGACTCACTGATTGGCTGCCTCCTGCACACACCCCACTGGGGATTAAAACTGCAACCTGGCACGTGCCCTGACCAGGAATTGAACAGTTACTCCCTAGTCATAGGATGACAGCCATTGAGCCACACCAGCTGGGCATAATCACCAAAGTTTAATGTCTTAAGTTAACTTTTTGGGAAACATCATAGAGACTTTCCTCCAGAACAAAACAATGATGTTCATTCCTCCAAACAAGCAAAGTCTAACAAAACAAAACAAAAAACACAAGAAAAGCCCATGCATTTTTTTTTTTTTTTCTGCTCTGGGAATTGAGAAGCAAACTTCTTTACATGTAAACTTGCCCTTAGGCTATCAAAAGGTGTAGCCAAGCCCATGCATTTTTAAAAAGTAACAAAGTCATATTCTAGGGGTTCATTGAGCAGCCTTCTTCCAAACTGTCTCATCTTCAGCTGGCTTTCACACACAAAAGCACCCTAGCTCATAAAAATATACTTTTTCCATTTGCTTTTTTAAATTAAAAGTAATAATTAGACAAAAACAAAAACAAAACAACAACAATAAAAAAAAAAAAAAAAAAAAACCTTGAAGAAAATCACCAGCAATTGCCTGACTCCATTCCATGGCATGTGCAGCCCATGAAGGTCAGGAAGACTATTTGCAACATACGGGATAAGGGCATGTCGCTCTTCAAGGTTGAGCTTTCTTCCAAACAGTGTAAAACACCCACAGCTCCAAGTATGACGGGACACAGACCACTTCCTTGGAGAACTCCACAGGGCAGTAGAGGCATCCAAGCTGTTGTTCGTAGACTGACAGGGCTTCCGTCAAATTGACACAGTTCCCCTGCGTAAAATACTTCCCATCCTGCTTCAGTACTCTCATCGAGAGGTCCAGAATCAGCCTGAGGAACTCCCACGTGGACTCTTGCTCGGGAGATGTGGAGATTGGAACGGCGGTCAGATCATTAATCACGTAATCAAACGCTCTGCCTTCTTCGGCGTACCTCTTCAGCACCGGGATGCAGTCTTCGACGAGAACCTGATAGCAGTCTCCCGTGAGGCTGTCCAAGACGTCGCCGCACGTTTTCCGCATGTATTTCCTACACCCGTCGATCACCATCTGGTCGATCTCTACCATCGTGGCCATCTTTGGTTTCAGTTTGACTATCTCACACAAGATGCCCCCGTCTCCGCCTCCCAGGATCAGCACGTCCTTGCCGGCGTAATCCTCTTTGCCGCTGCCCATGATGGCGTGGGTGTAGACCCAGTCGCTCTCGGCCAGGTTGACGTCCCCGCTCAGGATGAGGATATTCCCATACTGCTTCGAGTGCAGGATTTTGATGTTCTGATAAGGCGAGTCTTCATCGTACACCACCGCGTCGATGTCGTACTCCACCAGGCGGCCGTCCGCCGTGGGCCAGTAGCGGTCCACGGCCCCTCCCCGGACCAGGGGTGGCAGCCGCTTCACTTTGCCGGGGCCATCCCGGTTCAGGTCTTTCATTCTCGCTTCTACCTGGTCCAGAAGGCTGTCGTCCCCCTCCTGGGCCTGCGCATCGCCATCGCCCTCGCCCCCATAACTCTGCAGGTCCAGCGACACCAGCCCGTGAGGGTAAATCCTCACGTTGGCGAAGCTGCCGTTGGCGCTGACGTAGGTCGCTAAGCAGCCGTGGTCCGGCCAGGTGTGCAGCGACTCGGCCATGCCCCGCTCCTGGAACACGGGCCGCAGGGCCGCGAGGACGGCCTCGCCGCGGGCCGGGCCGCCCAGCAGGAAGTCCAGGGTGCGGTGCCGCGCAGCGGCCATCCTGCGGCCCGGCCCAGAGGGAGCGGCCGCCGGGACCTCGCAGCCGCTCGGGGCGGCGGCGGCGGGACGCCCGGACGCTGGAGAGGATTCCGCGCGACCCCTTCCAAAAACTGCCGCAGTCAACGACGGGCCCAGGTGAGTCGCAATCCTACGTCCATGGCCGCCCCGCTCGGCCGCGTCGGGGAAGGTCCTTTTCCGGTCGCATCCAGGGGCGGTGCCCGTCGCCAGGCTACGTCCAGAGAAGTGGCGGAAGGTGAGTCCGGCGCCCCAAGGAGGCGGGGCTTGGGGAGGAGGCGGGGCTTGGGAAAGGGGGCGGGGCCGGCGGGCCGGAGTGAGGTCTACGGGGCAGCGAGTCCAGGACGCTGTTGCCTCGGAGACAGCCTGGGGCTGAGAGCCCGAGGGCGCGGCGGGTGGGGGCCCGGCACTGCGCGAGCCTCGGGGGCGGTGAGGGGAAGCCGGGGCAGACCCAGCCGGGCCAAGGCCATGGCCGGACACCACAAGGAAAAGGTGATGCTGGATGAGGTGCGTCACAACGAGATCTTGCAGGAATTGTACATCAAAGAGTTGCGAAGCCAGAAACTCTACACGGAGTATCACGTGAACCCCCTGCGCAAGGGTGAGGGGTGCGGCGGGGTTGAGGAAGGGGAAAGAGGGAGGTGGGACGCTGGGAAGAGGCCGGAGTATGGGGTGTGTGTGGGGAAAAGAGAGGTCGAGGGTGTCTCCCCCCACATCATATCAGATGTATTAGATATATTTTTGTTTAAATAGGCATGATGAAATATTTTTTGTTGTTGTAAAAAAGTTGAAAGGCTCTTTGTAATTTTGTGTTTGAAATATTGTGTTTGGCAGGATTTTATGTATTTTGTTTTGCCTGTAATTTTAGTTTGTTTTTTAACAGAGCAGACGTTTGAGGGTTTGTTTGTTTTTTTTTTTTCCAGGTTTCTAAATTGCCTTAGACTCCACATCTCAGTCCCTACAGTCCCGGTTATTAACGTTTCTATCACCCTCCCCTCCTGTGTTCCTTCCTCAGTGAAACACACCACCGTGCACATGGAGACATCGCACCTCTCCTCACTTAATTCTGCCCTCTCTCCCCATGCTCATCCCCAGGCCTCAAAGAGCCTCCTCACTCTGCCTGGCCTGATCTGATGGGCTCCTAACTACTCTTTTCTTCCAAGCTCCCCTCTCCTCCAACCTCTACACACTGCAGGCTACAGAGCTATGCTAACACGCTAATTTGTTCCCGCCATCCCTCTGTGAAACCCTCAGGGGCCCCACAGCTTCTGAGCTGAGGTTTGAGCTGATCTGTGGCTCTGCCTCTGTGGCCCACCAGCTTCATCCTCGCTCTCCTCCCCACCCATACACTCTTCCTTTGAGAAATAGTTCAGTGCCTGCTCTGCACCAGCCACGTGCTCCCTTCTCTCCCATCGTCTAAATAAATGGATTTCCTAACACATCCAGTCATCCCAAACCTCTTTACCTTATAAAAATGGTTCCTTCTTCCTGAACTTCTACCCCCAACTTCTAAACTAAATTAACTCTAGTCCCTTGCAGCCCATAGAGAAAAATGTAATGTCATTTTTAACTTTAAAATTGAATATATTTAAGGCACATTATGGGATGTTTTGATATACATAGTGAAATGATTACAACAGTCAAACAAATCTAATGTCTTCACTTTTCTTACAGTTTAACCTGGTTTTCCAGTGGAGTCCCTAACCACTAAATTCAGGATAACATTTTTGTTTAAGTTTGGTCCATTCCAACAATTTAAATCCCTCAGGGGAAAGCATTACTCTCCTAACTCCGCCCCTTGAAAACGTGACGAATATGGTCCATTGTGGTACAGTGAGAAAATACTAGAACTTGTATTTATGTTTACTTTTATGTAGAAAAAAAGAAATTATGCTTTATTAATATACTGATAATCATAGGGATGTAGGCTCAGGAGTTTTTTGCTAGGAGTTTGAGATAAAATCACTTTGGAGACCACTGGTTCTTTCTGGCCTCTGTCATTTCCTCCCACTCTCTACCTACACCCCTCCTCGCGAATTACTCTGGCCTTTTAGATGTTTCTCAGCCCACCAGTGTCACTCTGGATTCTTCCCAGATCTTCACCCAGCACACTTTATGCTGGGCTCTGCTTTAATGTATCTTCTATCCCCACCCCACCACCAACTCTATCCACAGAACCTGCTTTATTGTTCTGCATCTTGCTTGGATTTGCCTAAAATGGTTTATTTGTGTATATCACCACAAATAGAATGGAGACCTTCCCTGTCGCCAGGGCACCAGTAACTACCAGCTGAGTAGATGTCCATGGATTCTGTACCTCTGTCACCATGTGGCCTCACTCTGGTTTACCTTGTTTGCTACATCCCCGAACAATAATGTTGTCCAAGAGAATGGTCTGCAGTGATGAAAATGTACTGCCCAAAATGGTAGCCATTAGTCACATGTGCTATTGAGCATTTGAAATGTGCCTAGTGTGACTTAGGAATTAATTTTTAATTGTATTTAAGTGTTCAAATTCAAGTAGCCACATGTGAGTTCCTTGAGGGCCTTATTCCCTCATGTCCAGCACCATATCTGGCATGTGACAGTCACTGAGAAAATACTAAGTGGGTGTCTGGCCTACTGTGGGTCTTAGAGAGGGCAAGGATTAGTGTTTTAACGTGAACTTGTGTTGCTATTTTCTCTCTAGTTCACACAATCACCAGAAAGCCCATGTCTTGGCATGATAACCTGGAGGAACCTGCAGATGGTAGGTCCTGGGGTTTGAGAACACCACTGAGATAGAACAGAGAGGGGCAGGTGGCTGCACAATCCTCTCAGGGGGGTCTCACCTGGGAGCAAAAAACAATCCTCTGCTTAGATCATCTGAAAACTGGAGTCATCTAACCCAGCTCATAAGAGGTGGACATATTCCACCACAGTTCCAGTTTATTCACTTTCAAGCCAGCAGACATGTTTCTAATGACCATAACATTTCATTCATTCATTCATCAAACATTAGCTGTTATAAACACAAATTTTGGAATCATATTTAATTCAAATCCTGGTTCTGCTGCTCATGAACTGTGTGACTATGGACAAAGAATTTTTCTTTTAATTTTATTTACTTATTTTAGTTAGAGAAAGGAAGGGAGGAAGGAAAGGGAAGGAAAGGAGGGAGAGAGGGAGGGAGAAACACATTGATTTGTTGTGCCACTTATTTATGCATTCCTTGGTTGATTCTTATATGTTCTCTGACTGTGGGTCACCCCTAAACCTTGGTGTACCATGACCACACTAACCAACTGAGCTACCAGACCAGGGCCTGGGCAAGATTTTTATGCCTCCCTGAGCTTATCTCTTAGGGTTGTTGTGAGGATTAAACAAAATACTTCAAGTGTTTATCTGGTACATGGTGATCAGTAATTGTAGATTCATGTAATTATTTTCATTATTACTAAGTAATAGTCACTGTGTGATAGCACTATGTGATGGGACTGGAGAGGAGATCTCATATCACAGTGAAGAAGAGACGAATAGATTAGAGACTAGGCATGGGATGGCAGCAGCATGGAAAACAGGTGCCTAAGTCAGGCAGTGTGGTTTTGGAAAGTCTTCTTAAAGGAGGTGGTAACAGGGTGACGAGGAAAGACATTCCAAGGTCCATGGAAAGGCACAGAAACGAGACACATCACCATGGCCATAGAACTCTGAGTAGTTTGGCAGGGCCACAATACATAGGTGGACACTGGCCATGTGTGGGAATGAGGGAAGAGAAATATTTTATGGAAAGCTTCTCTCCTTCCCCTCTGTGTTCTCAGAGTAAAACATGATGGAGAAAGGATGTAGGACGTGTAGGAGGGTGGGGCGGGAGGTGTGGGGTCGGGGAAGCATGAATGATCACACAGCAGCGTGGAGACAGACAAGTAACGTGAACTATCAAAAGAGCACAATTAAAAGGTATGGCTCTTATCTGTAGGGAAGACACCAGCCTAGGTAAAGGACAGGAGCTGGGGACTGGTAGCAATAAGAAAAATGTCAGGTAGTGAGGTCTTGAAAGCCAGGCAGAAGTTCACTACTAGCTCCTTTTTGCTAAGGATGAGCTTGGTCGATCGGATGCACAGGCCCTTCATTCACACTCCTTCCGTCCATTCCCAGTCACCTTGTTGAAGTGGGTATTTGACTCCCATTTTACAGAATGAGCAAAGTGAGAGCCAGAGACGTTAAAGCCCTTGACAAGCTAATAATAGAAGATCCAGAATGTCCCACTATAAACCCCCGTTTCTTCCTGATGTCAAGCTGCCTCTCTCAAATTGAGATTTGATAAGGTATGAATTAAAAATGGAAATTCTTTGATTCTTTAAGCTGTGGAGCTTCAAATATACCTGGTGTTGGCAGCCAGACTTATTTCAATACAAAAGAATTAGACCTTAATTTTGTTGGTTTGTTTTTTATTTTTTAATCCTTGTCAGAGGATATTTTTCCCCATTGATTTCTAGAGAGAGTGGGAGGGAGGGAAGAGCGGGAGAGAAGGACACATTGATTGGTTGCCTCCTGCACCTGCAACTGACGTATGGTATGTACCTTTTACCCTGGAAATTGAGCCCATGCCTCTTTGGTCTGTGGGCTGACGCTCTAACCATTGAGCAACCAGCCGGGGCTGGCTTTACTTCTTACAGCCCTCCTCACCCTTTGGCCCACAGCTACATTGTCCAAGCTCATTCATGCCTCAGGCCTTTGTTCTCATGCCAGCAGTGGTGTACTCTTTCTCTGCCTCTCAGGGCTGGCTCCTGCTTGACATCCAGAGAGGCATCCTCTGAAGATCTCGTAGACTTCGCCAGCGGATCTCTGTGGGCCCCTTCGACTGCCCCCTTCTTCACAGTTCACCTCACTGATTGCCACTGTCGCGTTTGCTTGTGTGCCTGTACATTGTGTCCCCTGTCCCCTCTCCCAGACTGGGGGCTCCAGGAGAGCAGGGACCATGTCTGTCTCACTCTGCTCTCCCTCCAGGGCCCAGACAATGCCTGGCACAGTTTGTGCTGAACATACATTTGTTGAAAAATGAATGGAGGAACCAGACACCCTTGGCATGAGGCCTAAGCAAGCCTCCGGGCCCAGGTGCTCTGCCCCTAAGGAGTGAAAAGGGCACAAGACCAGTTTTCATTCTCAAAGACTGACTTTCTAACTCCTGTCCTGTCCTCCAGACAGGTTTCTGAATATTATTCACCATACCTCCCAGGTGCCCAGGAAGAAATACCCCGAGACACAGACTGAAAACCAAGAATATGGCTGGTTCTCAGAGCCCTTGGTAAGTGTCTCCTTTCCTTAGGAAGCTCGAAGGCAACAGAGCTTGGGGGCTGAGAGAGCAGAGTATGCACCCGATGCCTGGCTTTGAACTCCGGCTACCATTTGCTAGCCGTGTGACGCTGAATAAGTGACCGAGCTATTTTATAACTCCGTTTTCTCCGTGTAAACGAGATAGCACAGGACACATCTCAAGGTTATGAGGAATAAATGAGGAAGGATTTGTAAGGTGCAAAAACAGTGCCTGCCACATAGTGAGTCCTGTGTGAGAGGTTCGGAGTGGGCCTGGGTCGTGCACCTATGACTTGAGGCCATCATGTATCAAAAGAAATTTTATGCCAGGCACGTGGGTGCAGGTGGGCCGAGTCCAAGAAAGGAATAGGCGGAAACAGAAGGGAGAGGAAGGTTTTTATTAGTCCTTGCTGGCGGCAAGCCATTCTGCTGACGTGAGGGTCCGGTCCGTCCTGGGCTTGTCCCTGTGCCAGATGTCTAGCTGTTATCTAGGCTACGTGGTGTTCAAGGCTGCAAGCTTTCTGCAAGATATCTGCCAAGCACAATACGTTTTCTCTGCCCCGTTTTATTCTCTCTAACCTTTTCACCGTGAAAGTGTTGATTGAACAAAGGTTGCTGAAAACTGCCTGAATTTGCTCTACCAGTACTTAGTAGTCTGGTCTTGGCCATGTCATTTAACACCTCTAAGTTCTCCCCCTTCCCTGTAATGTGGGAATGATGGCAACAGTACTCACCCCCTGGATTGAAAGGTCCCCACTACCTGCCAGGAGCCTTAGCACATCGTCACCCTAAATGATACAGGGCTTCTGTTACTAAGGGGAAAAAATGTAGACTTTTAAATAGAAAGTTTTAAAGTTTCTCGAAGAACTTCCTGCCAGTCTTATCTTTTAAACCTGCTTTGTCTCCATCACATAGAGATTTAGTTTTGTACGTAGGCAGCATGCCAATGTTTTGCATTACGGTTTCTGGGTTTTGTGCCTTGCTTAGGAAAACCTTCAACATCCCGAGTTACAAAACAACTAACTGTCCTTTTGCATTTCCCCCTAAATGTTGTGCTTTTTAACACGAGGATTTTAGTGCATCTGTGTATTTTGTGGGTGGCATGATGTTCCACAGCTGTACTGGAACTTCCTTCATGGCCTCGAAGGTGCCACGAGCTTGCGCTCCCTGTATCTCCACATGTGCTGCTCCTGCAGCCCTGCTCTGGACCCCCAGCCACTACTTGGGGAAGTCCTGCTCATCCTCCACACAGCTCAGGAGTCACCTCTTCCATGAAGTCCCACTAAGGGATTTCTGCCCCCCACTGGCAGAGTTGGGCACTGCCCTGGTGCTTCTGCAGCACCCTGTGCCTCCTGCTATTACAGCTCAACTCAATTCAGTGGAACATGCTGGCTCTGGAGCCAGACAGCCTGAGTTCAAATCCCAGCTCCACCACTTTCTAGCTGTATGAAGTAAAACTCCAAGAATCCATTTATTTACTATCAAATGGGGATAAAAACATCAATACTTGAAGGTTTGTTGTGAGGATTAACCAGAAATGTATGTAACTTGCTAGGATAGTACCTAGCACGTGGTAAGTGCTCATAACGATGGGCTATTATGCTGTCAATGAAGAATAGAAAAGAAGGCACATGGCCCCACCGAGAGCCATCAGGGGCGTCCCCTGACCCCTTGGCTTATTCCTGGTTGTCTTTGTCTACTGAGTAGTTACGTAGTGTACAGCCTTCCCACCACTCCCCGGACCCGGTCCTTCTCTTCTTTCTCTCTGGGGGCCTGGCCTTCTCCACCATTTCTACACTCCAGCCCAGGGCAAGTGGCTCTGCCGCAGGACGACTGCATGGGCATGGGCTGAGTGTCTCCGTTAGTCCGTCCTGCCAGTGCACTTGCAGCAGCTGCTCTTCAGACACGGGGCATCGCCGTGCAGAGAGGAGACTTGGGGAGGCAGGGTGAGGGTTCCAGCGGGAGCCCCACCACACTCACAGAGGGGCTGAGTCTAGAGGGAGAGGCTGGGGAAGAGACAAATGTTCAAAGGGAAGTAGGGGAGGATGTGTGCATGCAGGCGGGGAGGGGTTCACTTACAGTGAATAAAAGAAGAGGAGGATTGTGAAGGAAAGAAGGCGAATTAAAAACCATCCAAGTTAGATAATTTTGCAACATCTAAAATTATGACGAAGCACAGTAATCTAGCTCATTGTTCTTTGTTGTTTTTTAGAGATAAAGGCCTGGCTCCCTGGGGTACAGAGTGTGCATGTGGAAATGTATCTTGGAAAAAGTACATCTCGCAGCAGGCTCCCATGCAATGACAGTCACAGGTGTGACTGCAGTGGCCAGCCTGCCCTGCTAAACCTCCATAGCCTTGAGGATGACTGATTGTGTGGCCCCCACATCAGGTCTCCACCATGGAGTTGTGAAGGGTCTGCAAATAAGCTAACATGTTCATCTTCAAAATCCAGAGACACTACCACAAGATGGCGCTGGAGGCAGAGTAAAGTATACCCCAATACCATTGCATCCTTTGTGCAAGCATAAAGTTAATTGCATGGGAGTTTCCGAGTGATGCAATGGAGGGCAGAAGAGGCTTAATTGGCCCCAGATTCGCTTAGGGCAGGACCCCAGCCTACACAGGAAGAGAACTCCCACCCCCCAATAATAGGACACTGGAGAAGCACACTCAGGGAATACCGTCAGCCTCTGGTCTCCTAGTAACTTGTGCTGAATGAGTGTCCTTTAGGTTAATTGCACCGTGGAGCTTCTATACCATTTACATGCCACTCTTACTTACTCAGTTCTGGATGTAATTACAACACATTCATTCATTCACAAATATGTACAGATTATTGTGCTTTGTCATACTTTTAGAAGTTACAAAATTATCTACCCTCTTTCCCCGAAAATAAGACAGTGTCCTATACTAATTTTTGCTCCCAAAGATGTGCTAGGTCTTATTTTCAGGGGATGTCTTATTTTTCCATGAAGAAGAATACAGTACACATTTATTGTTAAATGAAAATAAAGGAAATTTATTACCTGTATACGATATGGTAGTACGGTAGTTGTCAACACAAACCAGACAAACTGTGAATCCTACAGTATCAAGAATTTACTCATTTATTCAACGACAATCATGTCATCATCTTCTGAAACATCATCATAACAATCCAATTCCTGAATTTCCTGGTGCATTTCTTGTGACTCCATTTCTTTCAGAATCAGTGGACCAAATCTCTCATGTTTAGCCTAGGGGGGCCTTATTTTCGGGGGGATGCCTTATATTTCACTCAGAAGGAAACCTGTAAGTAGGTCTTATTTTCAGAGGATGTCTTATTTTCGGGGAAACACGGTAACTTAGATGGTTTTTAATTCGCCTTCTTTCCTTCACAATCCTCTTCTTTTATTCACTGTAAGTAAACCCTCCCCTGCATGCACACATCCTCCCCTACTTCCCTTTGAACATTCACTAGTGTGTGCTGCATACTGTTCTAGGTGCAGGAATAAGCAGTGACTAAAACAAACAGCACCTGCCCCTGGAGCTCACGGTCCAGTGGGGGAAAGAGTCCATAGGCCTCCAGTTTAGGCAGTGCAAAGAGGAGGGCAGCAACTTTGCCCAGGATATTCTCCTCAGTCCTGCAGCTCTTTTGATGTCAGTGTTGTCTTCATTTCGCAAACTGGGTTTTGCAAGGAAGAGAACCAGGGGGTGTGCATCAGCAGAGTGGGCCTTGATTCAAGTCCAGGCCCATCAACTTCAAACCTCCCCCAAGTCTTCCCCCTTCCCACAGGCCAATCTCTGACACATTCTCCTGTCTAGGTCAACCCAGAACGTGATGACACCAGGCTGAACCACTTCAAGGTCTACAATGACATCACTCTGTACAAGGCTAAACTGTGGAGCTTGGGAGAAGATGATCGCCACAAGTAGTTTGCCAGCAGTGGTGTCTGACCACCTTTCATGTCCAAAGTGCGTGCTGCCCAGATAAATAAAGGTCCTTCCCTTTAAAGTCAGCATTCTCCAGTCTTACCTTTTCCTTTCTGCCCATGTCCACTGGTTCAAGTCCTTAACCTTATAAACTAGTCAGAGAAGTTCCATTAAAGATGGAAAACTAACTGCAAAAACATCTCCTCTGCCTTCCCAGACCCTAGTAAAGGAAATAGAGATACCAAAAGTATGAATCTACAACAGAGAGGAGAGACATTGGTAACCAAGAACACTGATGGGGCTAGAAAGGTGGTGAGAGGGTGTGAGCCGCCAGAAACAAGCTCAATGGGACACCTCTCAGCACAGAACCCACGTCCCAGTCCTCCTCGGACCCTTAGACAAGGCGGGTGTGAAGCAGGGAAATGACCATGGATGTTGGTGAGGTGACTCTTGGCAGCTTCTAGATCCATGGTTCTCAACCTTTCTAATGCCGCGACCTTTAATACAGTTCCTCATGTTGTGGTGGCCCCAACCATAAAATTATTTTCACTGATACTTCATAACTGTAATTTTGTTGATGTTAATGTGTCATAATGTAAATATCTGTGTTTTCCGGTAAGTCCACTCCAGCATCCAGGCACTTAACGTCTCCCGTGCTGGAGGGTCATTCTTAGGGAAATGTGGGAAGCCCAGCGTTCAGGGAACTAAGGAAAGCACAGAATAGGAAGGAGGTATGAAAATCTGAAAGAAGATTGAATCCCTAGCCCATTCCTATACTGCATTCTTGCCCAGGGTTTGAAGTTAATGGAATCCTCTGGAAAAATAAACCAGCTCTAAAGAAAAGACCCCACACAGACTCATTTAAAGGTCCTTTCTAAAAGAGCCAGGGAACGGCCAGCCTGGCAGCACGGGAGGTGTTGGGAGAGTGGTGCACCCAGGGAGGACATGGAGGCTCCATGCTCCCTTCCCAGCCTAGCCCGTCATTATGCTGCAGTTTCAGCGAGGCGCCCGTCTCTCTCCCACTTGGCTGCTGAAAGGGTGAAGCCATCTATGGCTGCAATCACTTCTGCTCTGGGCAGCCTTCTCCAGGAGACACCTTCATACAATGTCATGGACTAGGCCAGTGGTTGGCAAACTCATTAGTCAACAGAGCCAAATACCAACAATACGATGATTGAAATTTCTTTTGAGAGCCAAATTTTTTAAACTTAAACTTCTTCTAATGCCACTTCTTTAAAATAGACTCGCCCAGGCCATGGTATCTTGTGAAAGAGCCACACTCAAGGGGCCAAAGAGCCACAGGTGGCTTGCGAGCTACGGTTTGCCAACCACTTGACTAGGCTAATTATTAATGCCCATATGGCGATCTAGAAATGGGCCAATATCCTTTTGCTACAGGACAGCAATTTCCAACCCTTTTCACCTCATGGCACACATAAATTACTGAAATTCTGCAGCATACCAAAAAAGATCATTGTTGCCAATCTAACAAAAAATAGGTTTAATTTTGATTCGTTCACACCAGACAACTATGGATGTGTTGACTGTTGTCATTTTTTAACTTGACAACCTAAGGGAAAGTCAGGTGTTGCATTTTTTAATTTTATTTTAAAAAAATATATTTTATTGATTTTTTTACTAGGAGGGAGAGGGATAGTTAGAAACATCAACCAGCTGCCTCCTGCACACCCCCCACTGGGGATGTGCCCACAACCAAGGTACATGCCCTTGACCGGAATCGAATCTGGGACCTTTCAGACCGCAAGCCAACGTTCTATCCACCGAGTCAAACCGGTTTCAGCTCAGGTACTTATTTTTAAAAATTCTTGTAGGACACTAGTTGAAAATCTCTGCTCTAAGGGATCCATGGTCAAAGATTAGTGGGTGACATGGTATCATAGATGTTTCCTTTCTCTGGTTCCTAACACAGAGCTCCTAAATCCTGAGCAGTTTCATATGTAACAACAGTGACAGGAATGCTTTTGTTGTAATGAGTTGACTCTTGGCAGCCTCTCCAGGTAGATCCAAAATGGGGGCTGCTCACCAGAACAAGGTCTTGCTTCTAAGTCCCTAACTCTCAGTCCCACCACCACCTTCTGGGGGGTGAATAAGGGTTGCAGATTGACTTTCTCACTAATGGTCATGGTTTATTCAGTCATGCCTACATGATGAACCTTCCATAAACCCTGCCAACTGTAAGGTTTGAGGTGCAGGAAACTGATCACCAACGAGTTTTAAAGTAAAGTTTATTCCCCAGTAATGAGCGGGACTCATTACAGAGGTAGAGAAATCAGAATTGAAGGAGTTGGGAGTGGCTGGTCTGGGGTCTTTTTAAGGGGAGGAACAGGAGAGGGTTGGACCCAGGGCAGAACAGGAAGGGCTCCAGGACACTTTTGGCAGGCGCTGATTGATGGCTCAATGTCTTAGAGATGTCTCTGTGACAGGTGCCAGTAATGTCATAACTACGCCCACCAGTTGGGAAGAGTGAGAACCTTATACTAACTACAGGGCTTCTGTATTTGCAAACACTTCCTGGTGCTGGGAGGATGGTGGGCCGAGAGGCATGGAAGCTCCTTGTACAACCCCCAACATTTAAAAAAATGTTGTCAAAATTCATTAAAGTCACTTTGCATGGTTCCAGGAGGTGGTCACTGTGTGGTCCTGCCCTACTGTGCAAAGTGAAGATTATGTCTTTTTAGAGAAGCCTGTGTACAAAGTAACGCCCCCCTCTCCCCTGGTGATATTGGGAAGGTGAAAGCAGATGAAATGTAGCTGCGCTATTTAAAGAAACACAAGCAGGAGCACCATGAGCACTTCCACTTTCAGAGCTAAGGACATTATGATGAAAAGACTCTGGAACCTACTCCTACTATTTACATCTATTAGTCCACTTTTTATGCTTTCTTCAAAATATATTCATGGTTTTTCAATTTCTGTCGAACTATTAAACATCTTGTTAAATGCATAAGAAAATGAAAACAAAACATTGAGAATCAAATGTTTCTTGTAAAAAAAAGTGCTTGCCTTTTTTGTTTTTATACATGACATGGAGCAGGCATCATTTCTACACCCCAGCATATTGCTTTGCTTGTTTCTAAATTTGGTTTCCAACATTTCATTTCTACTTTCAATGTGACAAAGTGTCTCCTAGTCCCTTCTATATTTTTGCCAGTGCCGCTATTTCTGGGACACCCTCCTCACTATGTCTCCCAGTGCTTGCTGCACAGTCACTCTGGTATGACAGCAGAGTCCCCACACCCACCTCAGTGGACTTCAACTCCATTTGCATGCTTTTCAAATCTTGCTTCTAGCCTTATCATTTTCCATTCCTTTACTGCACTTTCATCTTCGTTCACCCATTCTCTCAATTATATACTTTTGTAAAATGCCATGTAGGTTCATTGCTGGGCAAAACAGAGGCAACACAATTCTACACATTGCTTGTCTATGCGGTGACCAATCACCTAGACTGTGTAATTGTTACCATCTCATCTGTAACTCACAAAGTGACTTGGGACTGAAAGGCTAATAGAAGTTACTACTTTCTGCAGGTTCTCACAGTTAACAATACTTTGACAATTGCAATTTGAAGTGTTGTTGAAAAACTATGATTTAATTGCACTTGGTAACAAGAACCCATGGATATTGGAACTGAACCAAGAACAGCCTATCTATCCTGGGTACTGGAGACTGCTAGGTTGTTACCTTGCATTGCATGAAGCAGTATTCTAAAGAACATGAGGAATGACAGTGCCTGCACCCTGACTACACTGAGGGCCGAAATGTACATAGCAGTAATGACTTACTTTTGGCCTTACCTTTGTGAAATGCTATTAACCTATGTTGTTCTTTCTTAAAACTTTCAACATCTTCCAAACATAATTCAAAGTTTCTAACAAATTCAAGACTCCTTGGTTTGAAATCCTGTGCTTTACTCCACTTGCTAATATTGTAGAGTCATAAATAAGTCGAGGGAAATAATTTCATCTTCACTCAGAATTTTATGTGAAATTAGTTTACAAAAGCTAACTAAATTCACTGTTTTTGTTCTAGAAACTCAACATAAAAAGGGAAACACAAATGCACAGAGGGGTTCAGGGAATTCCAAGGTAATAGAATGAAGGGAACAAAAGAAACCTCTTCAAAACCAAAACTATAATTCATCTTCTGAGAGAGATGACAGTAGCCCATAGCTATAGAACGAGAGTAAAATGATGTGAGAATCAATTAGAAACGAAGAACTCTTGGGTATAAACTGAAAAGTGAATGCTAAAGTAAGTATTCAATAAAATGATCAGAAAAAAAGAATCAAAGAAATCTTCCCCCAAAGGAGAATTTAAATATAAACACAATCAGATTTCAACATCTAAAGAAATTGCAGAACAAAGAAAATAGGGGGAAGCTATCCCTTATGAAATTCACCAGAATGGAAGAGCGCATTCTTGCGAACACCGTTCAAAGGGGCCACCAAGGCATGGCCAATGGCAGTTCAGATGACAGGCTGGAAAAAAGCTTCAAAGAATGAGAACTGGAAGGGATATGGCCTTCTCAGTGGCAACACTAGAGCCCCGGGACAAAGAAACATTCTCAGGGAAAGGCCTACCCACCAAATTAAAAGTAACTTGAGAAATGCAGAGGTAGAAAATTCACCTCCCATGTTCCCTTTCTTAGATACTAGAAAATGGTAGGAGGCATGGGCTAAGACACAGGGGAGTACGGTGCCGGAAGCCAATTCCAGCAAGTCAGCAGGGCTGAATCATCTGGAAATGGCTGAGGGCATTTCCCCAAACCTGAAATGGATGCATAAATGATTGCTTGCTGCCAGACAGCTGAGGGCATTTCAATCTATATGTTATTGCCTCCTACTGGCCAAACATCTGAACTGCCTTAGGCAATTCCTCCAACCTGCCAATGGATTCTGATATACCAAACCTTACCATTTGATATGTATACCTACCTTGCTTTAGGACAATTTGTGTTAATAAAAAGCAAGGAGTCCACGTCAGCAGATGATTGGATCAAAAAAGTATGGTACATCTACACAATGAAATACTATGCTGCCATAAAAAAGGAATTCTCATCATT